TTCTCTTCTCTTCTCTTCTCTTCCCTTCCCTTCCCTTCCCTTCACCTCTCCTCTCCTCTTCTTTTCCTTTTGTTTTAGGAAATGACTGATAGTTTCTCTTATTTCTTCTGTGTTTCCACATAAGGTATGCTTGGGTCAGCCAAAAGCTAGTAGAAGAGACAGGTTACCAATGGCTTGTAAAACCAACCCCTAGCCTCTATATACCACTAGAATCTACTGATAATGAGGAGCTTTATAACAAAGATTGGAGGGAGAAGCTTGTGATTGGACATTCTGTGGGGTATGATAGGTCATATGTCAAAGAACAGTACTACATTAAGGTACGTTCTAAAATAACTATTTTAAATCTTGTGCTCTATTTGGTTGGGAGCGTGTGCTTTATGAGATCATGCAGCATGCACAGCACTTATTTCTGTAATTATAGTATTTTATAAAAGAAATAAAAAACTTGCTTGCTGTGCTGTATAAAGCACTTAGGATTAGCAGAACACTTGCGAAGTGTCAAGAAGCACTTCGCTACGTGCCGTGCTTCTCCTAACACTTCTCTCATGTTTTGCCAACCCCCCGCGTGCTTTATGACAGCACACAGGGGCAAGGGCTAAAGCATTTTACTTTTGATCAGCATCTGTAACCCTCCCTTTGAGTCTGCATGGAAAATAATGACCTCCTTCCCCCCATTTGCAGCAGGCCTCCCCCTCTAATTAATGACTGGTCCCTTACTAAGTAGTGGAGTGAGATCTTTGGATAACTGAAGCAACACAAGCTCCCCAAACACAGTAATGAATAAGGCAGCAATTAACTGGGAAGGTCTGATGATATTCCCTCTTTATTTCATTTTTCATTGCCATTCAGGGTCCCAAGACATATTTCCTGGACACCCTCAGTCTTCATATGTGTGTATCTGGACTCACTGGCCATCAGAGGCATCTATGGAATGCATGCAATGCTGGTCGTAAAACAAAGGAACCTTGGATGGATGTTGGATCTGGTAACAAGCTGGAAGATCTTTATAAATTGTACAGTGGAAGAGATATCCTGGATAAGTCTATGCAGAGGGTGTTTGTAGATGGTGACCTTGATGATATCCGAGCCAGATTTCAAGTAATTCTTGTTTCTGATTGTGGGCAGGGGAGGGGGGGGAGGGGGGCTGACAGGGGGATGGATGGACAAGGATGGTTTGTGTGATCTCAGAGGTGAGAGATGAGAATTTACCACCACACCATCTTGACTCCCCGGGACCGGGGAGGGTACTCCCCTATATTTGCTATACGGGTACGTGCTGCCAAAAAGGGAATGGTTTTCAACGCTTCTACTCTGGAACAGGGTATATAAAATCGCGCTCGCTCTGGAACAGGGTATATGAAATCACACTCTCTCCTCTCTGAAACAGAGTATCCATTTTTGCAATACCGGAACAGGGTATGAATTTCAGCGATCTTGCTCTGGAACAGGGTCAGGGTTCAGTAGGCTCAGCAGCACATCCCTACCCTAAATGGGCAAGAGTACCCCCCCCTTCCCCTTGGCCTGACTCCCAATAAAAATAGAAATATACCATTAAATTCATCCATCCTAGCAAATTTTATTTTCATTTTTTACAAATTCCAATTAATTTTTTTCTTAGGATCTCACAACGTATTGTGCAACTGATGTTGCCTGCACACACGAAATCTTCACTGTCATCTGGCCAATCTACAAAGAGAGATTCCCTCACCCAGTGTCCTTTGCTGGGATGTTAGAGATGGGTTCGGCCTATCTTCCCGTTGATGAAAGCTGGGATAACTACATCAGGGACTCTGATAACACATTTGAAGACCTGGAGAAAGAAATGAAAGGGATTTTGATGAAGTTGGCAAACGAGACGTGTAATTATCAACATGGAAAAAGGTTGGTGGAAATTACATGTAGGTTGCCTCCTGAAAAAAATTCCAAACGTCTGGTTTGTTGGCTTCTGTCAGTCAATCGATTACTTACAATGAAATGGGAAATGTCATAAGAAGTACATGTAACACAATAAAAACCCCATCCATGACTATCACTGCTTATCGACCCTCTTGTTGTTGCTTGTTATTTTCTTTTTTCACACTTTCTTTTTTTCTTTCTTTCTTTTTTCTTTCATTCATTCATTCTTTCTTTCTTTCTTTCCTTTTTTCCTTTGCTCTTTCATTTGTTCTTTCATTCCTTCATCCACAGGTTTCTTTTGCACTTTCGTTCCTTCTTTCCTTTCTTTTTAGTTCATTTGCTCGTTTATTCTTTTGTTTGTTCATTCCTTCATTAGTTCTTCAGTTCTTTATTCCATTCATTCATTTTTTTTTCTTTTGTCCTTCCTTCCTACTCTCCTTCTTCCTTCCTCTATTCCCATCTGTCTTATAACATTTCCAATTTTTYCCCCCAGATATCAGCAAAACCCATGGTTATGGAGTCTAGATTGGTTTGTACAGGACATCCCTATCAAAGCACCCAAAAAACAACCAAAAAAGAAAAAGAAAAACAAAGAAAAAGAGCTTCCTTCCTCAGACCAAACGATTATCAGACTCAAACAGAATCCAACTTCAAATATACACATAGACATAGAAGCAAGTGAGTCTAAGAATCTTGAGGAAAGCGAACTTAATATTGAGGATTTAGAGCTCGATGAACGAACTCTGTTAAGAATGGAAAGGTCGGGTAAACATGACTTAGATGTTGAAAGCCTTAAAGAAGAAGCACAAAAAATTAATGATCTTATCACCTCGATTCCTGCTGCTGAAGATGTCATGTACAAACGAAGAAGACATCTCCCTGGATACCCCTTGTGAGTACATCACTATACATGTGTATGCTTGGGAATCAAGGATAGTGTAGCAACAGTTTACTCACCTCTCACCTCTGGGGTCTCAGGTTCAATTTGTGGACTCAGCATCACAAGAGAATAGAGTTTGTGAGGCTACTCTCATGATTCAGGCTTTTTCTTCAGGTTCTCTGGTTTTCCTTGCTCCACAAGACCTAACAAGTTTCAATCTGTGAGTTAACAGTGCCCTTACTTAGAAAATCAGGGCACGTGTAATTCACACTGAGATTAAATTGGAAATTTACCTTGTTTTGCCTTGCTGATTTAGGAAACTGGAGATTAAACTCACAGAAAACACACAAATCAAGGGAGAGACTTAACAAACCAGGAATCAAACCTGAGACCCCAGAGGTGAGAGGCGATGGCACTTCCATTACACCATCCTTTTTCTCAAAAAAATCCCCAAAAATCCAGCACCTTCATTTAAATATTCTTCTATGTTGTCATCAAACAGGTGGTATAGGAAAATCTGCCCAAAGGATGGAGAATTTGGATCATCACTTGTTAGCCCGCAATGTCAAATAGCGCCGTCACTACTGCGCATGACTTGGGATAGTTTTCCACTGCATTACAGTCGAAAGCATGGTTGGGGATACCTAGTCCCTGGAAGAATGGATAATATAAAACAACCTGATGATGAGGAGAGATTAGAGGAAGAGGAGGATGGGAAAGTCGAAAGAGATTTGCCGGATATGCCTTTTCCTACAAAGTAAGATAACATTAGATAATGTAAAAATTATTATCAAAATATTATAAAATGGTCTTTTCACCTTTTTGAACAAATCTGAATTGAGAAGAAATTAATTGTACGACCCAACCTAGTCGTCCATTCCCTAATCCTATCCCATCCATTCTTCTGCCCAATCTTTTTCATCCATTCATTCCCGGATTCTATTTCATCAATTTATCGTTCTTTCCTGTCCTATCTCTTCATCCACATCATTCTATCCTATCCATTCATCTGCCTCTGCTATCCTATCTGTCCATCCACCCATCCTACCCCATCCATTCATTCATCCATCCATCCATTTATCCACCCATCTTATCCCATCCGTTCATCCACCCTCCTATCTCATCTATTTATCCACCCGTCTTATGCCACCATTTATCTACCCATCCTTTCCCATCTATTCATCCATCCATCCTATTCCATGCATATTTCTCGCTCTCATCACTCCATCTATCCTTTTCTATTCAGTAATATTTGAAAATTCTTTCATATTTGAATTAATCTTTTCCCCGTCTAATCGAACCCTTACCTTCTATCAATATTTGATCACCACAGATCGTTCCAAATCTTATGGCAGAATCATCATCTCAACAAAGACTCACCTAAATCCACATCACCAGCCAGCATCCTTGACGACGAACTCGACGCGCGGACCTTGACGGAAAGCGATCTATGGTCCGATATAGACGACGATGCGCTCAACAACGCTAAAGCAATGACCAGTACTAGTGCCAAAACAAAACAAGTAAAAAAAGCGATTATCGAAAATGCCGAACATGATGAATCTAGAGATTTTGTTAGTCGAGGAAAGAGTAAACCTCATCATCACCATGGGGTGGGGCCGTTTAACGATGTTGATCTGCCTGGTGTCTGGTTCTTTCGTATTCCACATAAGGTAAAAAGATCCGTCTTGTCCGACGTTTTTCCTTCGTGCGCAAAGCCAAACCTAACGAGATAAATTCTAAATGAGTCTGTGATTTAGCCGTGCCCTGACTTAGATCAGCCCAGAAGTTGTTTCAGGGTTCAATCTGTGAGTTAGCCGTGCCCTGACTTAGATCAGCCCAGAACTTGTTTAAGGGTTTGATCTGTGAGTTAGCCATACCCTGGCTTAGATCAGAACAGAGGTTGTTTTATAGTCAATATAAAAAACAATAATGGTGTTATTTACATTTATATCAGATTCTTTGTCCACCCACAAGCAATATGTAGACATCCCATAATATTTTCTTTCCACAGAAGCCCAATAGACTATAACATTTTGAAAGAACTAAGTATTTAGTCATATGATATTCATATAGTGTCCATGGTATTATCTGGTAACTGGAGCTTGTTTCTATAAAATTGATGTTTTTCGGTTTCAATTGGCTTTCCCTCTTCTCCGAAGTCTCCCTACAGCCCCTTGTCCTCCCCCTCCCGCTCCCCCACCCCTCCCTCCCTCTTTCAACTGAGAAGGCATAATTTTTACAATCTTATTTGTATTTTCTCAAGAATGGCGAGCAATACCGTTGTGGGAACCCTTTAGCAAAAGATTACATCAGCAAGTTGGACGATGGGACGTTGGTGACTGCAGGTGACCGCAATGCACGCCGGACATTAGTTGTTAACAAAATGATTTCGTTTTGGAGAAACGCGCAAAAGCGTATCAGGTTTGTATTCAATGGTTTTGGGGTTCCTGTGTTATTGTAACTAATGTTAAGTGTTTACTGCGGTAGAGACAGTGCAGTGTGGTTCCATATAAATGAGGGGGAATGTTTTTGTAAATATTTCAGGTCCCAGATGCCTGTTTGGCTGACTGAAAACGATCTAGACGATGAAATTAAAAGGTTTGTAGTTACGTTCTTTAAGCAATATTATACTACACTACGCTACACCATGTCATATTACATTGCACCACTCCATACTACACCACACCACACCACACCACACCACCCGTACTATACATCACACTACACTACGCCATATGACATTGCACCACACCATACCACACCACACCATACCACCCGCACTATACATCACACTACACTACGCCATATTACATTGCACCACACCATACTACGCTACGCTACATCACGCCACACCATACCACCCGCACTATACATCACACTACACTACGCCATATTACATTGCACAACACCATACTACGCTACGCTACATCACGCCACACCATACCACCCGCACTATACATCACACTGCACTGCACACACCACACTACCATACCACACCACACTAAAAAATATTATACTACACAATACCAAAAGGCTTTTTTCCTATCCTCAAAAGGTCATCTGACTTCAATCGTGATGCCAACTATGGTGCAATAATCCCGCGGGTCATACCCGCAGGTACCGTGACAAGAAGGGCAGTGGAGGCCACGTGGTTGACAGCTAGTAATCCTAGAGTAAGTCAGAAAGATCGTGAAGGGCCTGAGATGAAACCTATGATAAGGGCCCCACATGGGTACTTATTGGTAGGGGCTGATATAAATGCCTCATTCTAATGGTTTGTTTTTCAGGAAGATCGTGTAGGGTCTGAGATGAAAGCTATGATAAGGGCCCCACCAGGGTACTCGTTGGTAGGGGCTGATGTTGATAGTCAGGAACTTTGGATAGCCGCTGTCTTGGGCGATGCCAACTTTGCAGGCATTCACGGTAAGTCGTCTTTCTTTCCCAAATAAAAGCCTTAGAACCATGTATATTGGTAGCAGCCACCATTGAATGCTCAACCAATCAGAAAGCGATATTTATGGCACTTAATATTCAGGGAGTACGGCCTTTGGATGGATGACGTTACAGGGGAAGAAGTCAGATGGTACGGATCTGCACAGTAAGACAGCAAGTACTATCGGGATCAGTCGAGATCACGCCAAGGTAATTACTTACATACTAACATTCTTAAGAGTGAAGGCATTTAACCCGTGAAATAAAAAATACTAGTCAACGCGTAATAGTTAAATAGACACAAAAGAATGGAATTAGGGTCTACTAAAGTGTATTAGTCTAATATCTATTTAACGGGTTTAATGACTTCACTCTATTTATTAGACTAATACACATTAGCAGACCCTAATTCCATTGTTTTCTTTTGTCTATTTTACTATTACACTTTAACTGACATTTTTTTATTTCACGGGTAAATGCTTCATTCTCTGAACGTACGCACCAAATTAACCGTCAATCTGCTTACATTTATCCATTCAGCATCATTTCCTATGTTGATCGGTGAAGATGGTTGCTAGTGCTAATAAAAAAATACTTTGTATAAGCAGTGTTGCATGCTTCCTTTTGCACCCCTCGTCTTGCATGCTTCCTTTTGCACGCCTCGTCTTGCATGCTGCCTGTTGCATGCTGCCTATTGCGTGCGAAGCTTGAAATGCATTACATTCATACGTAAATAATGTCAGCACAGAAGAAAATGTACCAAAAAACGTTCAAACAAAATTTAGAAAAATTTCATATTGTTGTGACCTTTTGCTGATTGTATTCACATCACCCATAGTGCATTTCGGGCTTGGTATTGCAACATAGAACAAAACCTTCACTAAGCTTTTTTGGAAATAGCTGTATTAACTGTTTTCACGTCGGCCATGTTGGAGGACTTCAGCAAAATAATTGTCAATGAATTATTTTGTTATATCCTCCAACATGGCCGCCGTGTCTTTTGTTATTTCATTCTCTTGGGAATGGTCGAAAACCATCAATACACCCATTCTTCTTTCCCGGAGCTTTGGCAGCACCCGGTCTCAATCGTTAAAAATGCATGTCTTTTTTAGGTCTTCAATTACGGTCGTATCTACGGCGCAGGTCAAAAGTTCGCTGAGCGGTTGCTTCTGCAGTTTAATCACAGACTGACTGATATAGAAGCCAAGCAAAAAGCTGAAACACTGTACTCTAACACCAAGGGAACAGTCAAGTAAGATCATGAGTCCCTTTTCTTTATTTGTGCACCAAGGTATTGGAGCCCACTTGCAGTCCTTCTCAATAATAATAGGTTTTGATAGACGTCAAACGATTCCATGTTTTTGTTGTTTTCTTTTGTGTGTGTGTTATTATTATTATTATCATCATCATCATCATCATCATTATCATCATCATTATTATTATTGTTATTATGTTACAAGGCTATGACAAACTGTCAATGCATGACTTTTTTTGGACATCATAACATATCGCCACTGAACGTCTGATACGTCTGAACGCTTGATACTAAATCTAATTTTGACTCTGTTATCTGGTATTTTTTATATGTATATATATTTTTTCTTTTCATAATTACTAGTTTTAAAGCTAATAAATAAATATAGATAAATAAACTACTTAGACAAACTGGAATGAAAGGAACACGTGTTACTATTGACTTATCATTGCTGTTTTCGTATTCATTCATACTGTTTATAGGTATCTGTTGTCTGATTACGGCCATGAAATAGCAGACAGGTTAGGCTACACAGATAGAATAGATGAAGATGGATGTGTGGAGCGAAAAGTTTATTGGGAGCTTGTCCGATCTGCCAGAAGAGGAAGGTAATCGTTGGCACATTCTTTATACCGTCCTATCGCGGCTACCGCCACATCAGGAACAAGCTCAATACTCGTTCCTTTTGAATGGGCCTCTTTACCTTAGGCGAAGTATTTTCCCATTTCAGACCACGTGTCATTCTTTAGAGAATAAGATTCTTTGTTTGAGTTGTATTCATATTCATGTGTCTTCTCAAGCGCCAGGGGCGTAGCGAGGACCTAGGAGCTGGGGGGGGGGCATTGATCCAAAATATAAAAAAATTACTCCTCCCCAATAAAACAAATAAACGCTCAAACAAAAATTCAAGAAACAAACATTATTTTATTAACCATTCTTAAATCTTAGGTTGTAATAATTTATTTTCCTCTTTCGTTTCGGTTTAATATGTTTTTTTTGTTGTTATTCTTTTTTCAAAATTTTTTTTTTTTCCAAAAATTTTGGGGGGTCACATGCCCCCCTCGCTACGCTACTGTCAAGCGCAATCATTAAACAAAGAAATAATACTCTACACATGGTCTCCTTGGATCCTCATAGCGGATGTTGCTAAAGATTCCAACCATTTTCTTTTCTTTTCACAGAGGCAGCAAAGCTTCAAAAATGGTTGATGCAGGTCGTGTTTGGCAAGGAGGAAGGTGAGAGGTGTTTTTTTTTTTTTTTTTTTTGAAAAAAGGTGTTTCTTCATTCTTCATCTTGGGATGGGGGAAAGAAAACCGGAGAAAACCGGTGAAAATCCATCGTGTCATTGGAGAGAACAACACATCAAACAAACTCTATCCACATCTGTCGCATTCAGTAACTAAAATTTCTTTGTCATCAGTGAGTCAGAAATGTTCAATAAACTAGAAATGATCGCACAGTCGGAAGAGCCCCGGACACCGGTTCTCGAGTGCAGAATAAGCCGTGCTCTGGAACCTTGGATCGTAGGAAATGAGGTAAGAGAGCRGTTTAGATCTTGTTTGAATACTACAGTTTCTAATTCTCTGTTACTCAGAGTTGTCCTTGACTTTGTGTTGAATATTCATGTGTGAAGTGAAGGTCCATGGAATTCCATAGTGTTTGTATTGTTGAAGTTGTGCATTCTTTACTTTACCGTTGGTATTTGTGTATATTTAGACACTGATTCGAGGCTAACCGTGAGTAAACGAGTCTGCAGTTAAGGAGCACAGCGGGATTGTAACGAATTCAAAAATTATCTATTTACGATTCTCTCGAAAGCGTCTCTTTATTAACACAACTTATCAAATTCACATTAAAAGTTGGTTTTTTTTCCAGTTCATAACTAGTCGCGTGAACTGGGTGGTCCAGTCGTCTGCTGTGGACTATCTTCACCTGATGCTCGTTTCTATGAAGTGGCTTTTCAAGGAGTACGATATTGAAGGTCGTTTTTGCATCAGTATTCATGATGAGGTATGGTACATTCCTTAGTGCGACTATATTGCAGATTCCATTAGTTTTCCGAGGTTGAAGTAAAAACTGGGTCAAATTGGCATCACAGTGCATTGTGGGACTTTCACCTTAAACACTCCCACGATGCACTGCAATGTCAATTCGACCCAGGTTTTTCCTTCAACCTCTGAATGGCTAATTTGGTTTTGATGTTACGGCATGCCGTACCATGTAAGTGCTGTAAGTCAGCACCATACGTTTTACGCTCATACGATAACCATTCTTATGGGAAGCCATTTCAATGTTATGGCATATCGTACCGTGTAGGTGCTGTAAGCCAGTACCGTGTGTTTCCCACTAATACTACAACCATTCTTATGGGAAGCCATTTCAATGTTACAGCAAATCGTACCGTGTAGGTGCTGTAAGTCAGCACAATACGTTGCCTACTCATACTACAACCATTCTTATGGGAAGCCATTTAAATGTTACGGCTTATCGTACCGTGTACGCTGTAAGTCAGCACCATACGTTGCCCATTCGTACTACAACCATTCTAATGGGAAGCCATTTAAATGTTACGGCTTATCGTACCGTGTAGGTGCTGTAAGTCAGTACCGTGCGTTTCCCACTCACATGATAACCATTCTAATGGGAAACCATCTCAATGTTCGATCTTAAAGGTGAGATACCTCGTGGCCGACAAGGACAAATATAGAGCAGCTCTGGCTTTGCAAATAACAAACTTGTTAACAAGATCGATGTTTGCCTACAAGCTTGGAATGATGGACCTACCACAGGTATGGTACATGAATGCTGTGGTGCATATAAAGAGGAAGGGGATCAAAACTGAAAGGGCCAATRAGGGCCCGCCACCAGCGCCGGCAGTCACAGGGTTCTGAAAACAAACGATGGGGCACGCATGCAAAACACAGGGAGCCCATGTAGAAAAACACGTAGAAATAAAGAATTTTCGACTTATGATGTTATCTAAATTGGTGCAAAGTTGAAATTTTTTAATGTTCATTGTCAAGCGAACAAATTAAATACAACGGTCTTTCAATGAACGCAGTACAAAATTATAAGAGGTTCGGAGCATTTGAATATATTTTGTGCCTAGTGCTATTTTCTCTGCAACTTGTCTCGCAACAGCGTTGCGACACAAGTTGCAAGAATGTTTAGATGGTGCAATGCAAACGCAATCGTTACCAAAAGTAGAAACAAATTCTACTCGCAACCATTGCTGCTACATTTTTTCGAATTGCGCTTTTGGTTACAAGCTGAAATGCTCCTAGAACGTGTGTCGCAACGTTTGTTGCAGAGAAAATTGCACTGTGTAATCGCTCCTTTAGTATAGTCTATCGCTCTCATACCGGCATAAAAGTAATACCGGAATAAAACTCGTGCAAACATTTTTCTCTTCTCTAAGCCCTGTGCGGGGGGTTCAGATTGGAAAGACTTCAAATTGATAAAAATAAAGCGACAAAGGCTACAAAAGTTCAATGATGAGTAATGCTAACATGTTTTTTCCAGTCTGTAGCTTTCTTCAGTGCTGTGGATATCGACAAAGTGTTGCGTAAAGAAGTGACTCTCGACTGCAAGACACCATCTAATCCACATGGATTACAAGAGGGACAYGGAATTCCAACTGGTAGGTTCTCATTTTTTTCCCTCTTTATACTAAACGATTTTGGATTTCTTTTGTGTTTTGTGTGCACCGCTTATGCGCCGTCTCTCATCAATGCGACCCGGGTTCGAGTGCCGTCGGGCCCGGTGTCATGTGTGAGTAGAGTGGCTTGTTGGCTCACCCCTCTGCTTGAGGTTTTTTTTTCCGGGTTCTCCAATTTTCCTCTGTGAGAATCAACAATTCTAGAATCAGAGGGACGTATGTTAGATAAATCTTTGTAGTTAATGCATCCGAACATATTGCCGGTTTTCACATGACGTCATCAAAACATCAAAATCTAAACTATAGATCGYATAAAGGCATTTCTCAAGTATGTTTTAGAAATCAGTGTTATAAGTCACAAGAAAAAATGTCGAATCATTTCGGTGTTTGGTTCCCGAGTTATGAAGGTTGAGTTTGTGTTACTCAGTAACGTCACGACTAACTAAATAGCGTCCGCCATGATGGTGTACCAACTTGGAACACCAAGATGGCCGCTCCATACATTTTAACCAAAAATTGCGTCATGTTTACTCGCCTATAGTTCCGCAACGAAATGCTTTACAGCCTCGAAATTTGGCCAGAATATGTAGTTTTGACCGCTTTACAAGATTATGAAATTTGTATTTCATTATAATGCGAATTTACGCTTTTGAAATTCATGATGGCGTAGGTGAAACCAAGAATTTTAAATAACGGCTATTTTTTTTCCGTCCAGATTTTTAAATTTAAGGTAAACTCGTAAAATTACACGCAAGCGCAAGCATCCCCCCAGTGTTTAACCAGTCCCAAATAGATAGTAGTTCCTGCTTTGCCAATCAGAATTCTCTATCAAGGCATCGTCATGGTTACAGGACAGCAAACAAATGGCTTTTTTGTTCAGAGATCGATAAATTCTGGTCTGTTCTAGTTTATATTAATGCATATGTCATATAAAAACGAAAAATACCTTATGTTGACACCAATTCAGCATTTTTTTATGTCCCTACGACCCGTCAGACTCAAAACTTTACACGTTCTCTCCTGCTTTAGACCCAGTTTAAAGGTCGAATTTAACATGTGTCGAATCGGATACAAATGAACATAACCTATTGTTTGAATCATTTGCATTAGATTCGGTACATGTGAAATTCAACGTTTGAACTGAGCCTTACCTTCAATCACAACAAACAGACAGAGTTAGTCGAAATTAGGGAATTTTCGATGAATGGAAGCCAAAAACCCTGACCCTAGTAAGCAGACGATATGCACCTTCATTTTCTTCTACGTTGACAATGGGTGGCTTGCGCTCCTACGGTGCTGTATCTCACCGCCTTGCAGTTAAAGCCTGGGGGCGCGCGTTTTTTTTCCAGGTTTTCTTCCTTCGTAAAAATCAACTCGTGATTCGAGCGTTGTGTGTTGTAAATAGTGGATGTAATGGTAGTGCGTGTGGAGCGAACCTCACGGAAGAGCTCCTTACGTATTGATGGTAGTTAAATATATAAAATGGAACAAAGACAGCCACAGTTATACGTTGCCAGCACCAAGATAACTGCAGAGCTTAACCGAAGCTTTAGGAGTTTTCGATGTCAAAAAAACCAACACACACACAAATAAAGAACTCTAAGATTTTTCTAGCAAAATGAAAAGGCGTCGAGATTCTGAACTAAAGAGGTGTTCTCAATAACCAGGTTTCCCTTTTTAAATTTTTTTTTAGGTGAAGCTCTTGATATTTACGAAATACTCGAGAGAACAACTGGCGGCAAGCTAAACAAGGAAAAACCTCGAGTTAAGGATGAGAGACTTGAAAACTAGTGAAAAAAGGAAAGTTATGTTAGTTAAAGTAGATAGACAAACTTTTCATAACTGAAAATATCTTTCATAAAAAAATATCAAGAATATATACAATTTTGCTTTTATTTCAATAAAAACAGCTGGAGCTCATTATCCATCCTGCCTGCCTGCCTGCCTGCCTGCCTGCCTGCCTGCCTGCCTGCCTGCCTGCCTGCCTGCGAAGTGGAAAGATGTATTCCTTGTGTGATGTATTTTGAAGGAGTAACCAAGTACTTTCTAGCAATACAATTCTTCTCTCAAGTTTCAGCATTTTGCAAGGAGTTTATAAGATACCACGAACTCTGATACCACTCTTAGCTCAAATTGCACTTTCAAAATTGTTTTACCAGTGGGCAGCGATTGAGGAATCTTACTCGCGCGGGCATGTAAATTCGTTCATTCATTGTTACTCAAAAAATGCAACGTTTAAATTTACTCCCTGCCACGTGACTCCAAAACAGCCAATAAGAGTGCTCAATAGATCCTAAGAAATATAGTAGATAAAGGACAATAATGCGTGTGACTCAGTGTTAGTGCCGAGGAGTCTTGCTGAGCCTGAGACTGGCTTAGCTAACATAATTGAGGTCTTTTATTCCCATCATCGTTCGTCTAGTTCAACTTTCAACCAAATTCAAAATGTCTTCGCTGGATACCACGACCTCTCACCTAAGTTCTGGCAGCACCATGAATATTGTAGAAAACGAAGTCGTCGAAGAAGAAGATAATTTGCCTCAAAACGCTTCAACAGATGACAAGGTATTTCAGGATAAAAGTCTTGCTTGGGGATGGAGAAGTTTTAAACCATCTTGGCTGCAATGGCTGAATTCACCGAACTGGTTTGTGTTCTTCCTATGTTGGTTCACGTTTTTGCAAGGTACATTTTGATATTTTGAGTATATTTTCCTTTATGTTGCATATTCAATATATCTTGAAGGTGTCTGCGATTCAAGTGTTATCGTATCATTCTACACCAAATTTTATTACTTTTGTTTCTTGTTAAATGATAATTCAATTAAGGGGATGTGTCTTAATTAAGTTTATGGTTGTATGGTTGCCGCTAGTGTAATCCGTGATAAAGTGTAAGCAGTCCTGAAATTCCTTTTTAAATAGACCTCTATTTTTCCCCATAGTTTTTTGCTTGCTTTCTTGTCTGCCCACCTGCCTGCCTAGCACTAGCTAACTAACTAGCTATTTCCGTAGTTCATTTTAAATGAATCACGTGATCGCTGTTGGTTCGGCTATCATTCTGAAAATTCCTGCAAAGTCAAAACCATTTCATTTACATCTTGCAGAGTAAAATGAAAGTGATAAACACGAGCCAGTTATCGCATTTCAAGTAAGGATACCGCATACATGTTTATCTCTTTTAACAACTCCTCGAGACTTGGAATTTCAAATCAATTCAAAAGCACTTGAAAACAAAACAATGCGAACACGATATTAAAGTTGTAAATATCGAGACTTGGACGTCGAGGAACCAGAAAGTTATCGGCTGAAATTTTAAAAAGTTTGTAATACAGTTTTTGCTCTGTTCTTATAAGTGAGTAAATACTTGTACTACGGTTTTTCTTCCCTCTGCAAAAATCAAATAGTTTAAAAAACCATATCGATGTTAAGGCAATCATCGAGATTTAAATCAGTCTCTATTGCGATTCTCCTCTTAATTTCACACTTGTAATCCTGTTCTTCATGTAGCGAACCGAAAAAAGGCCGGTGTTTGCCGTACGTTATTTTTTAGGGAGCATTTATCTTTTAGGAGGGGGAGGGGTCCGGGGAATAGCTATTAGTATATGTGCCCAGTTGCTATCCCGGCTTAGTTTGTAAATTTTGAAATGGCCCCCAATAATAACTGGAAAAAAGCAAAAATGCAAGCCGGTTATTACTAGAAACAATCTGTGATTTCATTCAGATTTTCACTTGTAAATATTTGACTACCCCCCCCCC